TTATAACAAAGGTTAGGTTTACATTCAAAAATATATTTCGCCACATTAAAAGACTAGAAAGAAATATGTTTTAGGGGCCAGCCCCGTGGCCCAGTGGTTAAGTTCACTCACTCCGCTTTGGCGGGCCAGGGTTTCGCTGGTTTGGATCCTGGGCACAGACATGGCACGGCTCATCAAGCCATGCTGAGGCGGCGTCCCACATGCCACAGCTAGAAAGACCCACAACTAAAAATATACAACTACGTACCAGGGGGCTTTGGGGAGAAAAAGGAAAAATAAAATCTTTAAAAAAAAAAAATACGTTTTAGAATACTAACTAAAACAGCATGAAACAGTATTCATATACTAGGTTTAAGATAGGCAGGATGAAACAATAAATACATTCATAGAAAAAAGACTGAAAATGTTAATAGTATTCTTCTTTAATTATATGTGATTTTATACCAAAGTCTCTAAAATGAATGTGTTATACTTTTAAAAAGGAAAATGTATCTCTAAAAACAGGGAATTCCTCAAGAAAATGTGGAATTTGTTTTTAAAAAAGCTTAGAACAGTTTAAGAGAAAATTTTAAAAGTTTAAAAAGAAAATGATATATTCCTACATAAGAGATTGTGACATTTTCTCATCTGGATTAAAGAAGAAACATGCTTACCAGTCGAATTAGGGATTTAAATTAAATACATGAAACAGTTTCTCAAGCAGATTTTTCAATGGTATGACAGGATAACCTCGATGGCTTTAAGCCCAATGCACGACTTAATGCACGCACAGGCCTGCCTCTCAGGGTGCTCACCAGCAAGCATGGAAGGTGGGCAGGCACAGGGCAAAGGATGCTCTGAGCCCCAGGGCACAGGGCACTCAACAATAAGGGCAATGGAGCATTCAGATTACCTGGCATACAATTCCCTAAACAGACTGTTATGAGCTAAACTGTGTTCCCCTCAAAACTCTTAAATTGAAGTCCTAACCCTAAATCCTCAGAATGTGACTGTTTGGAAATAGGGACTTTAAAGAGGTAATTAAGGTTAAATGAAGTCATTAGGGTGGGCCCTAACCCAAAAGGGCTGGTGTCCTTTTAGGAAGAGAAGATGAGGGCACAGGCACAGAGGGAAGACAATGTGAAGATGCAGGGAGGAGTAGGCAGCCATCTCCCAGCCAAGGAGAGAGGCCTCAGAAGACACCAACCCTGCCGAGACCTTGATCTCAGCCTCCAGAACTGTGGAAAAATAAATCTCTGTTGTTTAAGCCACAGAGTCTGTGGTACTTTGTAATGGCAGCCCTAGCAAACTAATCCACGGATACAACTGCGAAAATTAAATTTCACCCTCTCCCACCGAAAGGAGAGATTCAGGACAAACGCACGGAAGGGGTCTTACATGGTTTTATGGACAGACTGCGATCTTATAGAGGTATAAATCTCTAGCTGTTTTATTCTAAGGAAGTTGAACTTCCAATAGTCTTCAACAGTAATTTATTGTCTTTCCTCTATAATTTTACTAACAGTATATTACATTTGTGGAGCATACGCAATTCAAATTTCACTCATTTGTTACTTCATCTGATCTTTACAACGTTCTCTACGAAACAAACAGGATTATAGTAAGAGAAACAACTAAAACCAAAACCTTTGGCCCGGGTTACCGATCTTTCCACTAAACCCCAGTGCTTTCCAAAGTTTTAGTAAGGCTCCCCCTGTTTTAGTAAGAGCAGAGATAAAGTTTACTTTATGCTTATCATAAAGACTTAATATTTCAACAGTGGAAAGGACGATCTGAATCTAAAGAAAACAGTGTCTTGAAATAAATGAAATTATAATATTTTAAAAAACAATTAACAGCCAGCATTTCCTGAGAATTTACAAAGTGTCAGGCACAGTTCTAAGCACTGTACATTAATTAACCCAATCCTAATAACACTCCGAGGTAGGTCCTATTACGGTCTCCATTTCAGAGACAGAGAAACTGATGAGTACTCTATCAGCGCTCATAAATGAAGGAGCTAGGGTTTGAACCCAGGAAAGACCGGCTCCAAAGCTGGCATTCTTAACCCTACCCAACGAAGCACAATGAGGGCACTACCGAACAGGAATCTTAATGGCTCTGCAGTTAGGGGATTTAAGCTTGAACAGTGGCTCCTGACACTTACTAGGTGAGTGACTTTGGGCAAGCTTAAGCTCTTCATGTTAGATTCTTCAGCTTTAAAATGGAGATAATCAAATGGGACAAGGGATGTAAAAGCCTTTAGTAGTGTCTGATACATAATAATGTCTAGTGCTCATTAAGCCCTTATTATTTCTAATTCTACTTTAATGAATATACAAGAACAATCCAAGAATGTCTAATCTGGGGATTCTAGGCAAAAATATCGAAAAGATTCTCTTCTTTCATCCATCCTTTCCCTTCTATTTCAGAAATGCATATACTATTCCATTAATCTCATTTCCCATAAGAATGTAAGACATATATTGAATCAGATTAGTGGTTAGATCAGTCATATTCTGTCTCCCACAGAGATACCTAACAACTTAGGTAACGACAACAATACACTTATGTGACAATGTCAAAAGATTCTGGACATTGCTCAAACATGTAACATTTAATAAGAATTCACCAATGTACTTAATCTTTACTGAATCTTTTTTTTTTTAAATATTGAGTCTATAACATCTCTTGGGATCACAAGATAACTATCTGTTTGCTCCTATTTGTCCTTTTACTACTTATTTCAGGCGTTGGAGTTCTTACTGTACTATTCCCACTCTTCATGATTTATATGCCTAAGTCACATTCTCCTTCAATCTCCATGTTTCCAGATAATACTGCTTTTGTAGTTATGTGGAAGTCTCTCCATTTTCTTCCTCTACTTATAACAATTTCTCTGGACCTTTCCCATTTTTGAAGCATTTCTGAGATGATTTAGTGAGAAGAACACTGGGCTAAAAGCCAGGAGTCCTCACTGTGCCATCTCATCTCTCAGATTCTTTATCTGAAAGATGAGAGGACTGCACTAGATACATTTATAATAGGTTCCCTTATATCTCTAAGCCTCATACTTCCATGACTATGGGTCTTCAACTAGAAATCACTCAATATTCCAACAAATTCCCTAAACTTGTTACTCCAGTTAGCTAAGCAGGGGCAGGCACATTCAGATTCCAGGGCAGAGGAAGACACAATAATCAGGAAGCCCAGGGCAACAGAAGGAAAGATATGTTTTGTAAACCAATAGAAAAAGATCGATTAATAAGAGAAATCAGACACCAAAAAGATACCAAAGATAGAAAAAAAGGCAGAAACACATAGCCTAACTCTAACCTCATCCCTACACATCTATTTGAAGAGGGGCTAAGAAATAGATATTTTGGCAGCAGAGGTTATCCAGCCCTCATTTCTGCCTCAAGGGAGCAATGCACCTCTGTGCCATCTCTGCAATGTTGTTGCTAAAAAGGCCTACTACACTGCTTTGCACAGAACAGGCATCCTTGCACAGAATAGTATTCCATGACTGAATTAATGTTCAGTTGAACAACATACCAGGAAATCTGAGAGCCCAAGGCCACGGGAATTACATGGCAGTGACGGCCCTGCTTCTAAAGGGAAGGAGACTCCATTAGATGGGAGGGGAAGATCTGGCCTAATGGTGTTGCTCAAGCTCTGACGGCACTGCAAGCAGCCCCCAGAAGGAAAGAGGACAGATTAATAGGCACGGGCTGTCTCAAAACCACCAAGCCAATATCAGAGTACTTCTGAGAGTCATTTCCTACTCTGCTGTCAGAGTCCAAGAAAGCCCTATCTTTTCTGAAGTTTCCTTCCGGAAAGTCAGAGCTTCTTGGCTTATGACTGGTTAGGGGGCAGGGGAGAGTAAATCGACTAAAGGAATAAGGGAGCTGGGCTGTTCTAGAAATTCTCAGGCCAGCCCTATGGTGGTGTTTCTCAAATTGTGGTCTCTGGATCACCAATAACAGACCAAGAGAGGGGGGGTGCATGCTAAAAATGCAGACTCAGGGACCCATCACAAATTTCTGGAATCGAATTTCTGGGAGTGGTACTGGGTTTCTTTAGGAGCAAATTTCTGTTTAAGAACTACTGCCCCAGAATTTTTTGGCGGGGAGGGGAGCCGAGGAGGAGTTGAGGGTCCTTCGACTCGGGATTCATTACATTCCACTGATATTACTACAACACTTTGTTTTAGGGACCGTGAGAAGAAACACACACCTCAATTTCTCAGGTCACAGCCGCAGCGATAGTTTAACAGCGCAGCGAGGCACGATTACCGGGGGTGTTTTCCTAAACGGGTCAAACACCGCCTCCCCCCACTGCCTTGTTTATCCTGTTAGTTTGACACTAGTTTATGGCTTAAAAATAAATCGGTCCAACCCAGGAATTTGCAGAAAGAGTCACAAACTCCAAAACAGAAGAGCTTTTTCGATAGTGCGGAACGAGGCTTGTAAAGCTGAAGACACTGTCTGCTATGAAAAGTAAGGTTTTATTTAACAGAAAATTACGGGTTACGGCTCTCCCCAGCGCCACGGATGAAAGCTAGTCATCTGGGGGTGGCAGAGAAGGCAGACTCTGAAGCAGGGCGACAAGAGCAGCAAAACCCACTCTGCCCCAGACAATTTGGGGAGAAGTCCGACCAACGACATAATTTTTCATGAATTCAGCGAACTGCCAGACAAAAACGCGCCTGCAAATGTTTTTCTCAAGAAACACTCCAGGGTCCTCGTCCTTTCTCTTCCGGCGGGATAAAAACACCCAAGGCCCGCAGGAAACCGTCCCCGCGCCCGCTCACGACTGCCACAGGAGGCGACCCCCTGCCCGCTCGTCCCCTGCACCCCCCGCGCGAAGGCGGCCGCCGGCGCCCCTCTGCCCACACCGTCCCCGCCGCGGCCTTTCCCCCGGGGCCGGCCCCCGACGCACACACACACACACACAGGCAGACTCCGGGCCGCGCCCACCGCCGGTCTCGCCGCCCGCCCTCGCCCCGAGCCGCCACTCACCTGCCGCTCCCCGCCGCTCGGGCCCGAACCCGCCCGGGAGGCGCGCACTCGGCGCCGCGAGCAGCCGCCGCGGGGACCGGCCTTGCCGCAGCGGCGCTCCCCGCCCCACCCCCACCCGCCGGCGCGGCCACGCGGCTGAGTCACCCAGCGCTTCACGTTAAGAGTCCCTCGGCGCGGGGCACGCCGGGAAGGCCGGGCTCCTGGCCCGCCGCCCGGGGCCGCGGCGCGCTGGTGGGCGTGCCCTCTCCTTCCCGACACGCCCCGCCCGTCCGGAGCAGGACGCTCTCGCGCCTGCGCAGCCAGGGCAGCTCCGGTTTCTGAGCTGCGGGTACCCTCTCTGAATTATTAAAGGGAGAAAGCGGAAAAGTTAGTGGTTATCTGAATTGTACACTACGCTCGCGCAGCCCCAGGACTGCTAATGCTTATAGGAAATTGTGGAGCTCGGAGCTCTGCAAACATTTTGGTAAGGAGGTGGTAGGAATGATGGGGTTCATTAAACACGTTTTGCCTGGAAGCCCCTGTACTAGATAACCATTCTGACCAAAAAAAGAGGAAAAAAACACATTTTTCTCAAACCTTGAGTTTAATGAAACTACGTGCTATAGCTAACAAAGTTGAACTACAAAACTTTAAGTTAACTGGAAGCAAGTTATTGGAAAACTGGTTGTGTTACGACTGCCGTATAAGGTGACCTCCCTGCCTGGTTATCACTCAAAAAACTATCTGTGGTCCATGTCCTATAAAACGAATGCTGGAAAAGAGAAGGAAAGAAAGAGCGTCAGTCCTTACCCTCATGACTTCTAGTGGATTTTGTACTTTTAAGAAGTTATTATACTAATTAAATAAAAAGTTATACTGATAATGCAAACTAGTCTATTTAAAAATTGTTGAGAACCAAATGTGATCATAACATGATTTCTTAAATTCTGAGTCAACTTCTTTTTCATTACAAAAGAGTCTACAAACTAATTTGGGGCTAAGGATTAGGAGTAGAAATGGAAGAAATGTGAGAAAATAGTTTGACTCTTGTTCCAATAGGTTGCAAATGGTTAGTGGATATTTGTATAGCAAAACTGTGTTATCAGGCTCAACAACCTTAATTTTAAAAACTGAACCTATAAATGTTTTCATTCTAATTTGATTTTAGAGGCCTAGAGGGTCATCCCCCACTTCTGCTTTTCCCTTCACCTACAGTGATTGTAAAGCATCCAGTAGGGGGTTTGAATCAGGACCGGCTGGGTTATGACGCTGCAGCTGCAGGGCAGCTCGCCTCCACGCGGTGACTCAGCTTCCCAGCTGCTTCCATGCCCGGACCCCACACGAGGCTCCACAGCAGGGATGGCAGAAGAGCTAGACTGAGGAATCCCGAGAGGGCTTCCCTCTGCCTCCTCCTGAAGTGGACCTTTCGCTTCTGCTGACATTTCACTGGCCTGAACTAGCCAGTGGCCCAACCCAACTGACTCTATGAAGGCTGGGAGGTATAACTTCCCATGTGCCCAGGAAAAAGGGACATGAAAAGGTTTGCTAAACACAACGTTGTCTCTGCCACAGTGTTCAACGGTAAAAATGAATATAAACCAATTTGAACGAGTGTTAAAGGATCCAAACTTTACTACCAATGTAATGTGGAGGATTGTTCAAACTAATGCCTTTATTTCCATTTCTGTAAAGTACGATGTTTTGCCCTTTGAGTAATTAAAAAAAAAAGAAAACAAAACAATGTTCCTGCAAGACAATTCTTGCAACAAATTCTTCCTTTCTGAAAAGGTTTCTCTCTGCTGATTTGTAAGGTACAAAAATCTGGCCCAAAGATTGGAGAATCAGGCTAACTATCTGGTCTTTAATAGTTCAGATTAAATGGTTCTGTTTTCGTCTATAATTTCATATAATGAATAGCATATCAGACCTGGTACTTTTTTGGGGTAGACATCAAGGAGACGCAGAATGACAAATGCATCTTCACGGAAAGCACGAGTGTATGCTGATTTTTATCATTTGATTTTTAGTTGAGTGCATCTCCAAAACCTCAGTCTCTGGGATGTATTTATATCTGAAGCTAAAACCCTTTTTAATGTCAAATTGGCAGGCCTGCAATTTTGAGTTGTCATAATGCCAATTTAAAAGGCAATACAGTTCATCTGATTTATGGTGTTATTTGAGTCTCCTTAAATGTAACATCTGTTACCAGTAAATATTACAAAGCGCTTTTCCCAATATTTTACATCAATTAAACTTCTCAACAACTCTGGGAGACAGATTTTATTACTCAGATTTACAAATGAGGAAAACAAGACGTAAACAGGTAAAGCATCTAAGGTCGTTAGGGGCTGAGAACCCCAGATCGTCTGACCCCAAAGTTCTTGCTCAGCATCCTCTGAGCATATGGCAGTCCTCCCTGACTGCTTCCGATTAATGCCTTCATTCCAATTAATGACAAACAATTTAAGGTTGCCTCTCTCTTAGAATAAAGATGTTTTTAAAGTAATAGCTATTATTAATTATTATATAAGAAACTAATTATCTTTTCTATGTACTACATCATATTTGGTAAATATAAAAACAAATCAAAACTTCCAAGATTTTTTAACTCTTTCTCGAAGTAATGACATTGCAAATTTTTTTTTAAGGAAGATTAGCCCTGAGCTAACATCTGCGGCCAATCCTCCTTTTTTTGCTGAGGAAGACTTTGGTCCTGTGCTAACATCCATGCCCATGTTCCTCTACTTTATACGTGGGACACCTACCACAGCATGGCCTGCCAAGCAGTGCCATGTCCGCACCCTGGATCCGAACTGGCGAACCCCGGGCTGCTGAAGTGGAACGTGTGAACTTAACCACTGCGCCACTGGGCCAGCCTGAAAAATTTTTTTAACTAAAAGCTTTAGGTTGTATGATCTCTAGATCACTGCAGACATATCAAATGAGACATGTTGAAAGAATAAGCAGGGGCTGGCCTGGTGGCATAGTGGTTAAGTTTGTGTGCTCTGCTTCGGCAGCCAGGGCTTGCCAGTTTGGATCCTGAGTGTGGACCTATACACTGCTCATCAAGCCATGTTGTGGCGGTGTCCCACATGTAAGATAGAGGAAGATGGGCACAGATGTTAGCTCAGCGACAATCTTCCTCAAGCAAAAAGAGGAAGACTGGCAACAGATGTTAGCTCAGGGCCAATCTCCCTCACCAAAAACAAACAAAAAAAAGAATAATTACTTTCATTTGGAAGTCCAAAATTGTGCTCAAATATAGTTGTAAATAATTATTTAATTTCCTACTTTCTAGAGTGAGGGCTGGAACCCTGAATGCTGACCCAAAATAGATTCATAAATTCTTTTTACTTTACTTTCATCAGTTCACCTTTGCTAACAAGCTCTTTGTGAAAGTCGCAAAGGCTTATGACCAGCAGGAAACAAAGACTGGACTTTGAATACATAATGAACTAGAGCATCAAGAATTTTAAGTTTCTAATGGATGGAATTTCCTATTAAATGTTTATTAATATACATCTGCTTTACATACAACATTTATTGGGAACGTCTCATCTGCAAATTCAACAAACACGCAGCCATGGTCCAAAGGCATAGGACCTCAAGAGAACTATGTAGATGATGATTGCAGGATCTCTCCTCTAAGGGAACTTTAAAAAGTTAAGCTTGGGGGCCAGCCCTGTGGCTGAGTAGTTAAGTTCACGTGCTCTGCTTTGGGGGCCCGGGGTTACACTGGTTCGGATCCTGGGCGTGGACCTAGTACCACTCATCAGGCCATGCTGAGGCAGCATCCCACACAGCACAACCAGAAGGACCTACAACTAGAATATACAACTATGTACTGGGGGGCTTTGGAGAGAAGAAGAAGGAAAAGTTACGCTTGGTTATTTGGGTAACAAATGGGAGATCAAAGAAAGTGAATCTACATGAAAGTATTCCACTGTTAAGTAAAAAACAAATGACAAAATATCCCAATTTTGCAACCCCCTGTGAATAGATACAGGCACTATGTATCAACAGCTCCTAAGATCATAAAGAGAGAGAGAACTAGACATTATGTGCCTCCTAAGAGAAGACCACACCACCACCTAAAATGCTGCTAAAGGGATCCAACCGAAGCCTGATCTAGACTCAGGATCCAGCTGCCCAGTGTAGGAAATACAGGGCAAACAGGAGCCTGCTGAACTGCACCATGATCATGCAATCTGCAAAGACCTGCCTTTGGGAGACTTTACAGGTCGAAAGTCCTCTGTTCTTTGAGAGATAAGTTGTAAAGTTAAAAAAAAAAAACTTAAAAGATATATCGAATTAAAAAAAAAATAAGTGTGTTGGGGCCGGTCCGGTGGCATAGTGGTTAAGTTTGTGCACTCTGCTTTGGCAACCTGGGGTTCGCCAGTTTGGATCCTGAGCACAGACCTAGCACCACTCGTCAAGCCGTGCCGAGGCGATGTCGCACATAAGAAGAAGTAGAAGGACAAACAACTAGGGTATTGAACTATGTACTGGGGCTTTGGGGAGGAAAAAAAAAAGGAAGATGTGCAACAGATGTTAGCTCAAGGGCAATCTTCTTCACCCCCCAAAAAAAATTCGAGTAATAAAAAAAGTGTATGTGTGTGGGAGGGAGACTATACTTCCTAGGGGTGAACATTTGGGTGGTAAAACCATTAAAGAAAAAAGGAGGTGAGGGGCCGGCCCCATGGCTGAGTGGTTGAGTTCGTGTGCTCCGGTTTCACCGGTTTGGATCCTGGGCATGGACATGGCACCGCTCATCAAGCCATGCTGAGGCGGTGTCCCATATGCCACAACTAGAAGGACCCACAACTAAAAATATACATCTATGTACCGAGGGGCTTTGGGGAGAAAAAGGAAAAATAAAACCTTTGAAAAAAAGAAAAAAGAAACAAGGAGGTGAAAGAGATTTCTAGAAAAGTCAGAATAATGGTTACTTATTAGGTGGGAGTGGGGGTGGGGAAGTGGGTGTGATCCAGAGGGACACATGGAAGGTGCTTCTAAGGGTGGGCATCGAAGGTCTGTTTCTTGACCTGGTGGTGGTTATGAGGGTGTTTGCCTTAGAATAATTCGTTAAGGCAAACATTTCCTTTGTGTTGTCTTCTGTTTCTGTTTTATGTCATGATAAAAAAATTTTAAAATAAAAAGTTTGGAAGG